GGTCACTAATTAGAAGTACAAAACGAGGATTTGTAAAGAAGAATGTCGGAGGATTTCGATATAAGCCAAGAGGAGACTGGTTTTCCTTTGCTAAAGTAAGGAAACTTTGCTTCTTATGCTCCTGTAAACAAACGTTGGTTTTCACGAGACTCACCGGCGCATGTGCAGCGCTGACCTCATACGTCATGCCCCCGGAACTGCTTCTGTGTACAACTGTTGGCGCAAGCTAGATTAAAGTGATTATTACGTTTTGAATATGGATATTTTTCTTACAAAAACGCATCGATTCGCTACAGGAGGCCTTTGTTCACCCCCCGGAGCCGTGTGAGACACTTTTTTTAATGGAAAGGTGCTTTTTATTTCACGTCTTTTGAACCGAAGGAATGCAACACCCGCTGAGTACAACGATAGAGCTTGAAAGATCAAAGGCCATTTTGAATATAACTCCGACTGGATTCGTCTGAAAGAAGAAAGTCATATACACCTAGGATGCATCGAGGGTGAGTAAAATGCAGCATAATTTTCATTTTGCGGTGAACTAACCCTTTAATGTCATGATCGCTGATACTTCATGATTAAAGACTGGCCTATCTATGTGCTGAGCTGATAATAAGTGTGATTTGTCTCATGGTGACAGAGATCAGATGCAGCATAAAGACACTTATCTACTCTGAGCTAACTTATCGTCATGTGCCCTATACTTTCAGCAGTGTTACAGTGGCAATGACAAATCCACAAATGCAAGTGAAACAGTATTACGGTACTTGCCTCGCTCCTGACACATCACTGCCATACTTTGCTATTTTATTGCACATGGGCAACAACATTTTTATGAACTTAAACTATCATGCAAAAGTAAGATTTTTTAGAAAGAAATGAATACCTTTAATCAGCAAGGATGCATTAAATTCATCCAAAGTGACATTAAAGACTTCCATATTGTTATAAAAATACTTCAAATAAATGCTGTTCTTTTGAACTTTCCTTTCGTCAAAGAATCCTGGAAAAAAATGCATAAAGGTTGTGCTGCTTAAAATATCAACTGTTTTCAACACTGATAATAATCAGAAATGTTTCTTGAGCTACAAATCAGCATATTAGAATGATTTCTGAAGGATATGTGATGCTGAAGAGTGGAGTAATGGCTGCTGTACAGTCAGCTTTGCTATTTACACAACTGAGTTAAAATATTTTCAAATTGAAACACTTATTTTAAATTGTAAAAGCTTATTTTAAATGGTAAAGTAATCATACTTT